TAGTCCACTCATTAAATCGAATAGTAGAATAATTCAAGTTTCTTTATCAATATTTTAGGAGGTTATAAAAGACAAAATTCCAAGTTAAAATTTGTGTGGTTATTATAGTAATAAAAGTCTAGACCAAACATAAGTCTAGACTCTAGACTAAGATAACTAAAATTTCTTTTATTTGTGGTTTTATAAAAAGAATGCAAATAAAAGTTTTCTGATTAATTCTGAGTCGTATTCTGGTGATATTTGCTTTTTCTTTGTTGTTTCTGGTTTCGTTACTCGCCAATTACAAATGATTCTTGACATATTGTTATAACATTTCTCTCTATTATATTATATTTATGACTTGTTATCAATACATCATAAAATAGTATACAAAAATAGAGAAAGTTTGCGTTTTCTAAATACATCAATGTTTTCTTTAATATTGGGGATAAAATTCATTATTTCAATAGTTGGAATATTTACAATTGTTTGACTTTATTTCAGTCAAAGCATATTTTCAACAAAAAAAGATTTTTTTATCCCTATTCTGCTTTAGCTTTATAATACTGCATGTGCATAGTATAGAAAGAATTGTGACCATAAAACATAGAATAAAATATACTGCAGAACATTATTTATTACTAATAATCCAAAGGGTAATTTTTTGTACAGAAAATATCAACACTGCCGCACTTAAAATATTTATGAGAGTCATTCATTCAATATAATTGGTACACGGCTGCACATAAAATTTTAATGCAGCCCCGCTTGTAAATAACTTTGTTTTAACTCTTCCCCATTAAAATTCTTTTAGAAAAATGCTTAATAGTTTTTATAATCTCCAGTTACATAAATATGGTTTATCACACAACTTAATAAGTATTGTTAAAAGATATGTAATGCATATCCGGTGTTATTATTGATTAAACATACATAATGATACCAATTCATGTTTGTTTAATTTTTATTTTTAAATATTTATTTCTTTTACCTAAAATTTGTTTTAAAAACATTTCTTTGGCGGGACTCGAATCTGTCTCATCATATAATATTAAAAATGTTTAACCTAGTTCGGCTGGAATTAGATTTTTGGCTATATTTACTTTACTATTTTATTTACACTGTGCAGTAAAGGATGCCAAAAATTCGGTTACCGGGTAATATGTCAAAGATATTTAGTAAAACGCTGTGGTAATACATATAATGTTTACTAAAGTTTACAGTACAAGTAGGTTCCTTAATACCTCTACAATTAAAAAAGATTTTTTATATAGGTATAAAGTATTTTAAAATCACTTTGTCTACTTTCGTTAAGTATGTCGTTAACTTATAATATTGGTATGGCAATAGTCTGCATAACTTTCGGCATATCTATTAAAACACTGTTTGAGGTTATCTATCATGCCACAAGCTGTTTTACAAATACATTCAAAAGAGTACTCCCGTAATGTAGTACCTATTCTTTTATAAAATATTTACCTAAAAAGCCTAATATGAACAAGAAGAAGCTGTATAGAATAAAAGTTTATTTGGATAAGCAAGCAACCAGCAGGACCTTATGACGGAATTTATTTCTCAAATACTGTCAGAACAGCTAAAGCACGAAGAAATGTGACCATGGACAACAGGTTTACCAGTGCGCTATTATTGGAAAATCTTAGTCTTACAATTAGAGTTAAATAAGCAATACTTCACTCAAAACGTGATACAGTTATATTTTTGTTGCCAAATATATAATGTTAATTATGAGCTAAAAAATAATTGAAAAAATAAAGTTGTATTGCAAAATATATAGTAAGAAAAGAAAAATAGCCCGTAACATCTTTCAGTCATTAACAGTATAAACATAACAGTTGTTTAAACAATAAGATACATGTTTAAAGAGTCATATCTATTCAACACTTTGTTGCATATACGGCACGCAGCTCGACACTAACAGTTATAAATTGTTTGTAACGGTTTTACTTTCTTGTATTTGGAGAGAAAAGCAAATAGACGCTCTGTGCAAACCGAAGTTCTCAGTACAACTTTTCATCATTAAAGTCTCCGCAATTTCTCTAAATGTCTAAATGAAACCTCTAAATTAATAATTAATCCAAAAGAAATTTATAAAACCAGTTTACAACAATGACCCCTTATTTCGAAGATTCCAGTTAAAAAAATCGTTTTTGGAATTATATCTGTATGTTTCTTTGGCTGTTTGTGTGTTTGTATCTAGAATAAGTGAAGTCATAGATTTTAATGCAAATCAAGGATATAAGTTACCAAAGATGTTATTATTTGATAAAAAGTTGTGAGTTTTCTCTACATATACAGCATCATAAAAACACAAGTTGTTCTATCGGTTTGTGAATTCGATAGTCAACAGATCTCATTGAGTTCAAAGCTGTTATTGTATTATGTTACATATCTGAAGCCTCGCATAGCATTCATCAAAACAATAGCTTATTATTTAGTCTTGACAATAAAATGGCACTGTAAAGCGAGATGAATTAAACAAATCGACTGCCATCCGCAAAGTGTTTGATTACTGGATAACATATATTCCTTATTTCAATACGCCACTGTAGAGCTTTATTACATGTTTATATAAAAATATCTTTTTGGCAGGAAAAAATGTGTTATATCTATGGAAGATAAAAGCTCGAACATCGCGGTAGTTCTTAAATTCTTAAAAATCATTATCCTGATTTTTCTAAATAAAAACATATTTCTAATCTGTTACATTTCTCGATGAGATTGGTGAAGTAACTGGAAAACAGCAAATTGTTTTAAATCGTAATCAAACTAAGGACGAAGTTGATATTACCAATAGACAAGTTTATGTATTATGTTTTTATGTATACAGTTAACAACAATGGAAGTATTGCTGGATAGAATTATCTAGAAAAACTGAAAAGCTGGGATTTCATTTAATAAATTTACTACAAAAAATATACCAAGAACAATTCGTTAAATGTTACTAACGTGAAGGAAAATCAACAATCCAATACAAGTGGACAACATACAAATGTTTAATCCATGACAAATGTTAATTTGTCCATAATTAACCATCATATGACTTCACTTAAATTCTATGTGCAACGATTATGCAAGAAGATTCTGAGAATAAATTGTTTATTTTTTTTATTTGTTTCATATGTTGATTTATTGCTTATTGATTTGCGTCAATTTATATTTGTATTTATAAATAATTTATTTGTCATACAACGTTAATGTGTGGAGGATTAAAAAGTTGCAACATAAAACACATATAACATCTTATTAACGGTATAATATATTGATTGCTATGACGTTATGAAACGACCTATATACAATTTTTAATTAAAAAAACTTTAGTATTCAGTTCGCTGATTCGATAGAAACTAATTGTTTCATGTAAAAAAATTTAGTGTAGAATATTTTAAAAACACACTTTTTGCAGTAAAATAAAAATCGTTTGTTTTAATATCACAAGCACCTACTTTGGATCGTGATTAATTAAAATATAAATGAACTTTAAAATTAACATATCAAAGAAATACAAATTAGGTTTGCATTAATTCGCATTTATTGTATAAGGTTTGAGTCTAATCCCCCACGTACTGTTCGTTCTGGACATTACATTATTCAATTAAAAGTAATTAACTGGCCGATCGGGCGTGTCCGTTCCTGCAGACCAGTTTATGGCAGCAGCAGGAACCGGTGTGGTTATGACCTTATTCTCCGGCCGCAAACAAACCGCAAACTCTGCCTTTCGCAATATTTGTTTTTATAATTCCGTTCGAATCGCCGACGTTTTGCTTCTTCGGGACCTTATAATCTACGACCGACAGCTATTTTCGGTTGTCGTTTCAGTTTGTAAGAATTCACTTAGGCGTTTTTTCTATTTGTAGGACCTCAATAAATTTCCCGGATAATTAACTTAAGAATGGATATATTGCGTTTAAGAAAACGTGACTCGAAGTTTAATGGGGGGACAAATTTCGAGTGGATTGTTAAACCCAAGAAGAAATATTGGAGGATATCACTCATCTTTTTTTCTTATTTATTTATTTGTTTTTAATGCGTTGAAATAAAAACTTTGTAATGAGTCACTTTCGATTTAGGTTGCAACGAAAACCAGAGGAAAAAGTATTATTCCGCAAAATGCGACGTAATATCGTGTTGCACAACGAACACATTTTTCTATAAAATACGATTCCAAGTATTTCGTTTAACTTGCTTTTAGTTTTGCAACACGGTTGTTTTGATGAACCACATTTCTAACGTGCTAACCGGTCGATTTAGTTATTGTTCCAAAGATCCTTTTGGCAACCGAGCATGCGGCTTGTTTGAAATGCAAATATTTCCACGGTTCAATGCACTCGCACACCTAACATTTTAATTTATCCACCAAGTTGATTATTAGATCATTATTATCTTCATTTATTACGTTTAAAAAATGACTTATATCATATTATCGAGTGGTTTACCACAAATTTCATTTTATACTTTAAAAGGAAATCTTATACAAGCAGGATTACAGTCGTTATTGTATGCCACATTTCATATGACATAAATACGGTCTGTTTATTTGCAAATTGCATGGGCTAGTCACTCTTCTATCGCATAATTACATTTGAGATTGAGATTATAACGAATTACATCATCAAAACGGAAGATGTATTGCAAAGGAGAAGATTGGCAAACACGTCATTCTTATTGTTTCTGTAACAGATGATTTAGTCTGGTAATTTGAGCCAAATTAAAATGTTGTGTTGGAATTAATTTTTTCTTCTAAGTAAAGCTTTTTTATCAACAACTTTATTTGTTTTTCGATATATATTTAGTTCTCGGAGACATTCATCTGCGTTAACACATACATATTCAGCGCCATTCAGGTCGGGCGCTTTGTTTACGATGGAGCGTGTTGGGATAGTGGTGGGAGAAACGGCGCCAGTGGCGTCTCGTTACTCAGAAATTCAATTTAATTTATAACTGTTCATTTATCTATCGACATGACGATCATTTATCAAGGTTTTTTTTGTTTTCATCCGCAGGAAATCGAACTCGAGCCAGGGTCAGTTCCGGGAAATATAATCGAGATGTCCATCATTGGAGGCGAGGTCTTAGTTTTCAAATCCGCTACTATTCAAATGGCGCAAGGATTGAGTCTGTTGAGAGTCGATGGAACAAAAAATCTTATTATACATAAACAAGCTTTTAGCATAGACAGTCCCACGTTTTTCCTTCAAGTTCAAGATTGCCAAAAGTTTGTTTTGGAAAGTAATGGAATTAAAACAAGCAAGGTTAAATGTGACAATATTCAATAAACATGTATAATTATTGCAATTATTTCAGACCTCAATAACCCTTGAAGTAAAACACTGCAACCAAGTGGCCATAAAAACATCAGCGTTTAGTAAATTATCAAGCGGAACTTTTGAACACATTTCAAGTCTTATCTTGGAAGAGACAACTTTTTCGTTCGAAATTAACCACAACGATCATCACCACGGTCCAGTAACCAATGTAAATACTCAATAATAATACAAACATTTATTTATTATTTATTACAACTTGTTTTTGTTCCAGCTTTCCTTTTTACATGTAAAAATAGTCGAAATCCCTCGAAGAGCATTCGTCGCATCCCTCTCAGAAATAAAAATCCATAAATGTGAAATCAGAAATATACAATCAGAAGCTTTTGGAATGAACCTAATCGCTTCCATATCGATAAGAGACACAACAATCAATAAAATGCAGGCGAGAGCTTTCAGTGATAAAACTTTGATCATCAAATTTGTATTAAACAATTCCAAAATAGCCGTTTGGGAATCAAACGCTATTAAAGGAGCGGTTACAAATTTAACTGTTATAAACAATACGTAAGTATTCGAAATAATTTCAAATTAATCCATCTTAATCTACTTTATTTTATTTTATTTTAGGATAACAGAAATCGGATCTGAGGCAGTCGTCTCAACCACAGCAACCGCAATAATAAAGTACAACAAAATAAAAACTATAGCAAGTGAAGCAATAATATTAAAAGATTTCAATCAACTCCTCTTCACCAATAACATTATAACAAGTTTAAATAAATCGTTTATAAACTTCACATTTACAAATCCAAACGTTTTGAAAGAATTTCATTTCGTTGAAAATGAAATTTATCACACAAATCCAGGGGCGTTAGCTTTCGTGCCTTTATTATTACAAATCGAGCCATCGAGCATATTTAAAGATAATCTTTTTAACCAAACGTGCCATTGTACAATAAGCGACTGGTTGGGTGCTTTATTTGATACGCAAAACGTTTTCTTTGCGTTAAATACAAGCTTTTGTACGGTAGATCCAATAATTTCAAATTGTTTCAAAATAAACGAGCGATTAATAAACATGGAAAATTTTACCGAATTAGTTTGTGGGGATGGTGATAAAATAATCTGCGAGGAATACAACGGGGAAACGAAAATTTTAGATACAACAGCCACGATGTTGTTTGATGAAGAAGATAGTGGACCAAGTACTCAATTAGTTTGGGGAATTTTTGTTATAATTTTAGTGTTAATAGCCGTCAGTGGAACGATCGTCATCCTTTTAATAAAAGGGGGAATTTGGATGAAGAAGAAAGGTTATTGTGTCCACTTCAGGGATCGCTTAAATCATGCAGAACAAAGTTTCGACGACGAAAGAGACATGGTTGAACAAGAACCTTGCACGACAGAAGAATACGACGAAGGAGACGATTTAGAAAGACTCAAAGAGCTTTTAGACCGATTAAAAAAAGATATGGAGAGTCCAGACGATGATATACGCCTCCAAGCAGAAACTCACATTCAAAAATTATACGAACAGTTCAGCGCAACAAATAATAACCGCCAAGAAGAAGAAACGCATTTATACGAAGAATTAGGAAATATGCAAAACGGCAAACCAAAAACATTAACAAATCTACACATTGAGACTCAATCCAAACCAGTCGTAGTCGATTACTCGGAACCTACAGACGCAGCCGTCCATTTTTACTCTGAATTAAAACAGAATAAAAACGATGAAGACGATATCAGTCATAAATCATCGCTTAAATCGAATGCGTCCGGGAAAATGGCTTTTAGGCCGCTTCCTGAAAAACCTAGAGACATTGAAAACCCAGGACCATCTCGGAATTATTAAGCGATTCCTAAATCTTCCTTAAAAAAAACTAAGTGTACATAAATATTAACGAAACACGTTTAAAACGAGTACGTTAAATGCCATTACATTATTAACTGTGATACAGAGCGGCGATACGACCGAATTTTTAATAATAGCGCTACGTGGAGCGCAACGAATTTTGTATATTTTGTATTTTTATTTTAGGTAATTAACAATATTATAAAAAGAAAAATTAATTAATGTAAAACGTTTAATATTGTAAATATTAATAATTAAATGTTTTTAGAAAATTAATATTTCATTTATTTTCGTTGAAACCCAAACGAATTTTAGGGATAATTACAATAAGCTTTAACGTATCCCGCAATACAAGATTGCAATTTTAATTGATCCCATAAATACATACGATCTGAAACAATTCTGGAACGTGGCCAAGAATTGCCGTTGGAACGCAAAGTTTTAAAATACCTTTGAGACAAAAAGAACAAGTATGTCGACGGTGCACAAGTTCGGGTCGACTGACTAACTACCATTAATTTGTCAATTATGGACGTTACCATTCACTCGTAAAACACAGACGAACGAGAACACAACGAGATGGTGCAGGAAATGGAAATCAGTGATGAAGTGGACCCGAACATAATTATGCCAATTCGAAATAATTTAGATATATTAGTAACAAAGTTGTAGTAACATTCATGTTTCATTTGAATATATAAATTTTTGAAATTCACTAATTTAAATTAAAAAAAGGTTTTAATTCGTAAAAGGAAGTTATAATTAAATTATTCTAGTTAATAAAGTTAATTTAGTTGATTTAAATTAATTTAACCCGATGAAATAAGACGTCCCTTCTTTACGATCATTTCCCCAGACGTTTTTGAGCGTGAACGTTCTTGTCAGTTATTTAAAGTGCTATCTATCAGTTAAGAAATTGGGTTCAGCAACTTATTAAGGTCAGTTAGTTGTAGTATTGTAATTTTCTTTAAGGTTGACTAAAAAGTTGTATAATAAATGTGTAAAAAAATGAAATCTCTACATATTTCAAGTTGGTCTTAAACTGGACTACCATTACTTTTGAGAAAAAGGTAATAATAATTCCGAAAATAAACAGCCCCGTGGCGCCACAGGTCCCATAATCCTGCAACCGGTTCAGAAGCTCCAGGAAACGTTTTGTATTTACGAGCGTACAACGAATAAACCTCGCGTTTTCCACAATAAAATTAAGTCGACCGCTTATTTGTGCAACGTTCCTGGGCCAATTTGAGATGGGGCCGATTAAAAACTCTCCTCCTGCGTACCCGGTGTGCCTTGGGTGGCCATTAAAATGCCCTAGTTCGCCTTTGGTCGATAAAAGAAAACCAAAGGGACGAATAAGAAACTTTAAATGTATACCAAGTACAGTGAAAATCAAAACATTTTTAACAAAATACTTCTAATAATTAGATCACGATATTTTCTGGTAATAAATCTATCTATCAACACGATAATATCTTTTCTGATAGAAATATTTACGTTAGACAAAGTCTTAGGTCTTTGAACACAATAATAAACAAATGAACTTACGCAAATTCAACCAATTTTCATGCCAAGCCTTGTACGCAAATACTTTGTTTTTCATCACAAGAGTTTGATTAAGCAATAATGATTTATTTTTAAGACAAAACATAGAATCAATGCAAACTGTACTGCTGTAAACAAAATAAAAATAAATACAAAAACCTCACCGGAAACAAATCTTCTTATACAAAAAAGATGTTCCTGGAATACTAAAATTTTAAGATCAGGTACAACACTGATATGAGATACTTTTAAAGAAGTATATCGAGGAATTTGACAACACAATGAAGTGAAAAATTATAAAAAGACTTTCATGATAAAGCACATCAAAACCTTTGAAGAAATTAATAACCTAAGCGCAGTATTGAAACTTGTAAGTATTGTCCTGAAGAGACATAAGCGAAGACTTATGTTTAGAGAGGTTGAGTTGGGTTAGGATGGGTATGGTTGAGGCATAACTAAGCTTAGCACTAAGCACAAACCATCTCCATGGAAAAATGTTCTTATATCTATCATATTAAAGACAACAATTGAACTATGCCTTACTAATGTATCACAATTGTGATGAGATTATGCTAATGGTAATACTACAGCTGCTACCTTCCAGCAGCTAGTTAGAAAAACATCACTTACTTATTTATTATTATTATTATTGCTGCCGGGCTGAGGGAATCTAAAATCTATTGTAACCGAAGCCCTCCAAATGTTTAGGGCAAATGTAGGTCCTTGATGAACCTTAATATTGCTCCAAGATCCTGCTCCTTTATGTCGATAGGGGTGAGACGAACCTTATCGAAAATTGTATGTCTTAAGAGGCCTCTCGCGACGTATTCACATAGTAAATGTTCGTAAATCGTTGCAAAGTCGACAAGTTTGATCCTCAGCTTCTCCAATGTGGAAGAGATAGTATTTTAGGGGCGCAGGGCTGGTCAGGAAGCCTGAGAGCAACCCTGAATGTCTCCGTTGCTGAGATATAAAACCTATACTCTTCGCCTGTCTGTGACCTGGAAGTTCTTTCCAGCGTAAGGCTACCTTTAAGACCTCCCATCTATTGATAACCTGTTTTAAGTGAGTTTTCTGTAGTTCACAGCCGGGTTGGATAAAAAAGCCTCATTTTTTTAGGAGGATTTCCACAGGAGAACTACTGCTACGTAGTCGACATATCGCATACAACACAAGAAGTTCATAAGGTGCTTAGACAAAGTTGAGGTTTACTAGCGGCCAAAAAAATAGTTTACGAATACTTATACAACTACTAAGGTGTTACTGTGAATTTTATAAACACTTTATACCACAAAGATTGCAGATAGCCTTGCTTGTAACATACACTATGTCAGAAAAGGTTAATCTATGTCTGCATAAGATTTTATCAGTTCTAAGCATAGTGAAATAGTTATGCAAGATAAATGTGTTGCACATTAAAGTTTATAAAATAAATACATTAGTATGCATTAAACAAAAATTAGAAAATAGGCATTATTCGCCGTCCACCACAGTTTTCACAAAATGTGAAAACTTTTTCTAGCAATTTTTTCTAGTAATTCTTTATAATATGGACGCTGTTTCGGCATTACTTGATTGTTTCATGTTACCTTTGGAATCATCATTTACATTATCGTCTACATCTAAGTTGGTCCTTTCATGTCCTACAATTAACATGTTATTTATTATTTTTTGTCGAAAAAATGATCATTTTAATCATTTTTCTGTTACTGTTATTACTGCGGAGGAAAATTATCCGAATATTCACAACACATGTTCATAGCATTACTTCAAAATAACATTTTTGTGCCATTTTAGACTTTTTTAAGATGCTATAAAAGGATGACACTTGGCAAGATACATCGAAATACTTTCTTGTTTTATTATATGGTAAAATGGTAGTAAGGTTAACACACATTTTCCCTTACGATTTTTTTCCAGTTGTTATCACTTGATAGATGTGATATGGATTATTTTGACACTTTATTATTGGAATTTAATTTTAATTCTGCTTACCATAAATATCTCCATTTTCAATATTTATACACAGATGTCTAATAATTACACTGTGCTGTAAACTTTAAGCTTTTTTTGTGTACAGTAGATCAGTTGAGTGTTTTTAGTTAATTTTGGGTTGCTGATTTCAAAGAACCCTTCCATTTTTTGTAACACGTCACGTTTTCTCTTTTTTTTATTTAGGTTTCTCACGGCTGCGAGACTTAGGATTTTATAGGGAAACTATAGATGCAATGAATTTGATATTGGGCACCTTGATATAAGGTGAAAAGATCTAGCTAAATAAAAAAAAACGTGACGTGTTACTAATAATGGTAGGCATTTTTGAAATCAGCAACCCAAAATTAATTAAAAACACTCAACTCATCAACTGTACAAAAATCTTGCAGCACAGTGTTATCAATTTATAAGTACACAGGCTTAGAAGAACTTATAAACATCAATTTATTGACATCAGGCAGCACTACTTCGTTCCACAGGACGTTATCTCATTCTATCGCAGATACATTGTATATTTCCTTCTCGTTTCAATACATTTCTCTCTATTTCCATGTTCAGAGATTTGAGACATAATTTGCATGTAATAAATATATAAACGCACCATTTTGCTTGAATAAAATTCATTATCAACTGAATAATTCATGATAATAATAATTTTATATGTAATTCTAAGCATAACATTTTTTAGCAAGAAATTAATTCAATTAATGGTCAAATACTTTTGATTTTCACTATAATGCATTGTGGTAGGTCGTTTATGTTACTTGTGTGGTTAACGTGGCCAACGTCGTCCAAGAGAGTGCGCTTCGATCGCGATAGAAGCGTTGCCAAGGAAACCCAGCGTCAAAACAGTGCGCTAAAACGCGACCAGACGCCAGACGTCTATACGCAGTGTGCCATGAGTGTCGTTGTGGTCCTTCACCAATTGTTTCTTTAACGCGCCAGCTATTTCAAAATTATAATTGATATCTTAAAGTGATTTGTTACAATTAAAGTATCTTAACTTACAAAGGTAAGATAATTTACAATTATATGTAATTATTATTAAGATACAAAGTGTTATTAACAAGATTTTTTTAATTTAAACTTATCTAATCTGCATGTTATCACGTGTCATTGGTATAATTATTATTTATTTTGTTTCTTTTTATTTTTGTTTAAAAATACTATTTTACATCTTCGTCATTAATTAAAAAAAGTGATTGTTAATTGTTATTAGACTTGACGTTGTTAAAAATGATTTACGACCGCGTGATTTAACAGAATTTGTCCATTCGCTGTATAAAATTTAAAAACCTCAATTAAAGCCTAAGAATAGCCAAGACGAAAAGTGATTACATTTCGGATCGTAAAAGGCAATTTAAATTAATTTTTGCTTGACGCTGTAGTTATCTCCTTAATGTATATCACCACAAATGAAATTAATTAAAAACAAAATTGAAAATAAACAATTCGAACTAAACTTAATTAAATTCAAATGGTAATGTTTTGAGAATACAAAAACTAATTGCAATATGAAGTGTTTATAAAAACAGCAAACAAAATATTCATGATATTTCAGTCGTTTTATGTGTTTTGAAATGGTTAATCTTTATGGAAATGTAAGAAATCGGAAATAAATTCACCAATTTAATTTAATTAATTGTTATTTGCTGTTTCGAATGCATTTTATAGTATCTATAA